AAGTCCAACAAGCAACCACTTATAATGCAATCGCAGCGCTCACTGCAGTAGCACGACCATGTGCACACAGCGTGCTATGCTATGCCTAGCCAGCACACGTTACCAAGTCACTAGCCAATCAGGTACGTGCACTGCAACTCATTAATAAAATTAGACTAGCTCTAGTCCTATACACTTTCCGTCACAGTATACTACAAAACAAATATATATTGCACAACTACGGAAGATTAATTTTGTCTTAATCTACTGTAATTTTGATGCGTGAAATGCTCAGTACTGTTGATCAAGGATTCAAAGGTTTCTCCCTATATTCATACAGACCCAGACCTGCCAGCGGATCTGCGGACATTCATCATCCCCCACAGCCTGGCCCTGGCTGAGAAACAGCAGCTACTTTGCGTAGCGGACCGCGAAAACGGCCGTATTCTTTGCTTCAACAGCACGACTGGCGAGTACGACCGCCAGATCACCAGTGAAGACTTTGGTGGAAGAGTATTTGCTATTGCTTATAATAATGAGGAAGGTGGGTAGTCCTTCCAAAGCTTTGCATAGACTCACCGATCGGTGCATTTTAAATGTTACCTGAGTTTTCCTGAAATTTTCTTATTTTTGTTTCACATGGTCCATGTCAATTATTTATCTATTTCTTTTTGTTTCACATTCCGGTTATTGAAGTAAAGTATCTGTGCTTTTCAAATTTGTTGTAATGTGTGTGATGTAATGTTTATTGTGATCTATAACATCCATTGGTGCATAGCCAAATTATAAAGAGTAAAAATTTGATCGACCCAAAAAATCCGAGACGAGTTATTACTGTGACGTGCTGTAAATTAAAATTATGCAAATGTGACACTTGATATGATGCTGTAGGCGTCGTTCTGTCTAGATAATTTCTGTGATGTTAGCATCATTTACACTTGATTTCAAGTACCAGCAGAGCTAGCAAAAAACATTAAAATCTGAATCTTGCAGACGTACTGTACGCTGTGAACGGTCCTACAAACGAAGAATACTATCGTATTAAGGGATTCACCATCGGCTTGGATAGTGGCAGAATCCTGTCTGAGTGGACTCGCCCAGCTGGCAGTCAGGAGGTTTGTATTTTATTGCATATATATTCTCAAACTCTTTTTGGCATGAAGTTTGATGAACGATATTAGGACTCACTGTTGTTAGGAAAATTCCTAGAACTGATAAGTAGAACTGGTACCAGGTGATGTCATCCCAATGAGTATCCACCTCGCTGTAATGCGGTAGCTCTTTCTGGTAGCACCAAGCATTCCCTCTGGACCCCTGCCTCAAAGACATGTAGTCTGTGACATGTATCCCAACAGAGCAAGTCTGTTTTGTTCTTGCCAGGCAAGAGGCACTCTGCAGCTTAGAATCAAAGTGCATGTTGGCCTTGACTTTGTTATTTTGTCAGTTTGCTATTGAGTAATTTACAAGTTGTAGTAAAACATAAGCAAAATGGTTTATTTCTGGTAAGATTGCGTGAAGAGGTAGTCAAGCTTATCTACACCTTAGGACCTGTATTTCCTACTACCTGTATTTCCCAATACTTTCCTTCAAACCGTGCTCTATTTTTTTTTTACTACAACAGGCAGATTTTCACAGCATTCAACTGACGAAAAATTCCAAAATTCATCTACAGCCAACCTTTTGCCTACAGCCATACTTTTATTGGTTTCTAATCAACAGGGGCATTTCAAAAGGAATGATTTTGCCAGATGCTTCCTACTATTGCCATCTTTATATCAGTTAGGCTGTTGGATAAAAATTACATAATTTCTTTTTTGGGTCATTACCATAGTATGACCCTACCTTAAAGCTTTATAACTAGAAAGGGAAGTGTTATAGACAGCAATTGATATCATATGATGACAATGTCATCTGAAAACAAGTCACGTGACATTTGATGTGCATCCTTTAAAGACCTATATCTCACGAAGTATATGTTTCATTGAAAGGGAAGTGTTATAGATAAAATTGATGTGATGATGATGTCATGAGATAACAAGCCACGTGACTTTGAAGGTCCATTCTTTAAAGCCCTTTTATCTCCCGAAGTACATGTCTCATCGGGTTGAAAGTTTGAACATAGCGGAAAAGGCATTCTTTTTGTCAAGGGCTTTTTATGGCATTTTTGCATTTTTGGAAAAAGACATTCTTTCGTGTTTTTTTTGAGGGGGGGGGCTTTTTCGCATTTTGCGAAAAAAGGCATTCTTTTTGTCAAGATTTTGTTTCCTCTTCTTCTTGTTCCCATTTCTTTGTAGACACTTTTTCTCCAGAGTGCTTAAGTCCCTTTGCAAGGGTCAATCTTCACCAAAGTTGCCTCAAAGCAAAGACCCTATGGCAAAGATGTGCCACGAAGCATGAATTCATGATGACATCATCATCTGATTTTTTATTGAATTTTGAGTATTTATTTTTTCCCATATGTTTTGTACACGTTTTTCAACAGCGGGCGTAGACTTTCTACAAGCAAAGACCATCAGCATAGATTAATGTAGAAGCATGACGCCACTTTGGCATCATAATTGGATTTTTTATTAAATTTTGAAGATTTAATTTCTCCCCTTGACTTTGTAGACTTTACATACAGTTTTGCTCTAGGGCTTACGCATGTCCGTTGCGCAATCAGCTGACTTGTGCAATTTCAGTACATTTTCATTGTCGCGCAGTCTTATTGCATGATTTCTAGATAATTTGGCTAGAGGGTTGTGAAAAAATTGTGCGGAATATTGATCAGGCCTTAACCAATTTTTATATTCAACACAAATCGTCCGTGCATGTATCGACCATCTGTGTGTGCTGTCTCGCGTCAACACATAGATTCGATCAGGACGATATTTTTGAGGGGCCCATGTGTTTTCTCACAGGACCTCTTGGAACTTCCTGGACCTGAAATTACACCGATTGAGTTCTTAACGGACTTTGCTTTATAATGAGAGGATTCCAAGGTAATCCCATTAAAGCTGAACCGAAACTAAATTCATGCACCAGCGACAGAAATTGCAGAAGAACTTCACACCAAATAGGCTTTTATAGGCATGATCACAATGATCCATGAGCAATGGTGCACCCGGCCCTTCAGATACACGTTGTGCAGCGAGCAGCTGTGTTTAAAAGCTGGATGGATGAAGTGCTTGAACTGCTTCTTCTGGTAGGCAATGGTATACGTATTACAAAACATGCCCAATTGCAAGTTTTTGTCTGAACTTTCTGTGCTATGTAGCTCTGGACAGTGATGTTAAGAGAATTGATTTAAATTAGCTCTGAATTCACACCATGACATATCCCGAGAAACTTGAACTCTACAAACGACCTTTTTTGAACATTTCGATATAGTCACCTTATGTCCAAATGATAAAAAGGCAATTAACATTGATTATGCAATTCCTATGTGTTCAGCGCAATCCAGTGATCAACTTGCACATATTTATAAGCTCCGTCCTGTGTACATTATTCAACTGTTTTAGTATGATGGATTTTATTCAAAGGCAAATCAAATCATGATGGAGCTCAATACATGTAGATGTACGTACATTTGCAAGTTTTGCAGTTGCACTGAACATAGGAATCGAACTGACTAAAGTCCCTCACGGTGCATACCGTATTTCATAACTATGCCCCACGGACAAACCATGTAATTAGGGGTTCACGGTACATGTGTAAATATCCAAAAATGTCTGCAGGTTGAATGTAGACCGACATGTATATACATGTCAATGTACCGTAAGCTGAGTAAGTACACAGAATAGTTGAATTTCCCTATTTTGCTTTGTATTTGCTAAATATCAAGTCGATAGTAGCATGAACTTTATTAGTGTCTACGGGATGTGATATTTGGGGTCAACAGTTTATTAAAAGGTGGACGTGAAACAAGGGGTTTGGGTGACAGTCAAACTGTATTTTTGGTTTATTGCTCTCACTTCTCTTCATCAAAGTTAAATGGGAGTTTGAAGAAGGTGTAACTTAACATAATACAACACACAAAAGGCAAAGTTATAGAGAGGCAAAGTTATATAAGAGTGTAACTAAACTACGGTTTGGCAGGACCATTGGAAATGCAAGTAAGACGGAGTGGGTACGGTACATGTGTGTAGCATCGCACAGCTAGGCTACACTCATCAGGCCGGGCCTTGGTGGGAGCTGTCCCGGACCACCACGGTGACTAGCAAGGGCTGGATGGGGCCAGCGCCGGCATGTACCGACCGCACTGCCGCTCAGACCGCAATGTAATGAGTGCAATGATAAGGTCGCTGCACTATGTACCATTGGCACAGCGCAGAGACGGGGAGGATTGGGGCTAGTTAGCAAGACAAGGTTGGCGAGGGACACGGGGGTGTCTCGGATGTAGCGGTGATTGCTAGGACTCTCGCTAGTACCCTGGGCTAGTTCGTACCGCTCTCGCATCAGACCAAGCTAAGCTAGCTGGCCATTCACTTGGTTAAATTTCTTTACCATAAGAATGGTTACTATCGCACTTCTCTCGGAAAGGGTCCAACCGCCACACTACGTTAGGTTCCGCTCTCGCAAGAAGGGTTGGTCCGTCGCACTGAGTGAGGGAAAATCTGGTCTAATTATAGGATTCTAGAGGCTTAGGAATTGAGCATCACTGAACATCTCAACCAATGAAAATCTTCTATCTCAAAGGTCACATGACTTCCTGTGAGAGTCGTGTGCAAGGATCTAAGTGTTGTGTGTAAAAAGGTAAAATACAGAATAAGAAGTCATGTGTACAAAGTGTAGAGCTGGGTGCGTGAAAGTGCTTACCCGGTCATCTGTGGCAAATGATTGACAGTTACAAAGTCTGAGGTTTCTGAACATTAGCATTTCAGGGAACCTTACCACACCTAACCACGCAGCCACGTGGAGGGGAATTTCGACATGCCAAAACTGAACAGAGAAAACACAAGGACGAAGGAGTGAAGGAACATGGGATGACGGCAGGGTACAGCATGAATAACTTAATACAAAATTAGCAACTCTGCTACATGTCCATAATGCATAGCTGAGCTTAATAAGAGACCCTGAGAAATACAAGTACCGAGAACGAGTAAAACTAGGGGGCGCTAGAATTCCAAGATTTGCGGGTGTGCAACAGTATGTATACATGCAGGTGTTCTTTGTACTGCTGCTGGAGTGAAAGCTAGAGATAAATCTATTCTCCGTGGTAGATCCAAGCATTGGAATTCAGCGTAACTGTAGTTATAAGAGGCACGGGTACCTACTGTGACACAAGAAAATGCACGACAAGGATGGTGTACCGTGTACTGGTCTGGTTCTTTTAATGGCGTTGCTGCATTGCGGGAAAAGAAGACCCTGAAAGATACAAAATAAAAGAAATATTAAGAATATGCCCTGAAATAACCACGCACAATATGGACAAACTATCAGTTCAAATAATTATGTCAAAACAAACTGCTTGGGCAAATTGAGCTTAAACCTAAATACAAATACAAACTCTGGCAAAATCTGAAACATAAATCCGGTCCACTTTCTGTACACCTCTGTATTGGAAATTACCAATTTATAGCGAAGTCTACATTAAAAGACACAAATAATCTCAATTCCTTCTATTACACAACTAATACACAAGGGAAAGCAAGGCACATGAGTTGTAATTGTGATCAGTCCTTTCAGGTGTGGGGAATCAGTCTCTATGGTTCACAGACTATGCTGGATCATTGTGATTTATGAGTTCACATCCTGTGGTTTAATAATAGGATCATTCATGTCATCGTGGTGTACAAGTTCTGTAGTTTACGTCTACTGACCCCATCATGACCCCCAACTAATGGGGTCATCCCAGCTGCATCCATCAGGGCACAGTACTTGAAGGATGCGCTTTCCAGTCAGCAGCACAGGTGCCACCAGACAAATCGGGTCAAAAATCAAGTTGACAGTGGAGAGAATTCAACGACGAGAAAGTGGCTTATCCTGGAGTTGAACTAGAAAGTGGAAGGTGTCGGACTCAATAAGCCACTGTACTCCAAGGGTGCATTCCATCGGCAAGTTTTCCTAAAAGACATCAATATTCTGGATGTCCTTAGCACGCTCAGAGGCTGGAATGCCATTCGATACGAACTTG